CATTGTACAGTGGCATTAAGTGTCGAAATGTGCACCTCTGCCTACCCCTTCGGGGGATAAAAAGGCGTGATGTTATGTGAATAGTGTTTGAGAATTTTCTGCCAAAAATATTTTAAAATAATTTTTATGTTCTGCAGTGAAGAACAGGTCAGTTCAAGTTACGTATGTCACTCAATGAAGTGACTAAGAACTTTGTATTGCAATTCCTAAGAATATATTTACGGTTTTAAAACGGCGTCATAAACCTCGAAATCCCCACTGTATAAGGAGTACAGACTGTAAATGTCAGTTGCCACAAACTTGCGGTTAACTGTTGTTACACCGGAGTTTATTTTGCCAAGAGAAGTAAAAGGTCAAGTTTCCAAAACATTAAAACTGCATTTTAAGTAATAAAAAATTACCAAAACGAAGGCAATAGACTTGTTTTGGTACACGATGACTTCATTATTATTATTAGTTTTGGTTTATAAAACAAAATTTGCATCAACATACCTACATTTCTGGACTTAAGCTGTTATCATTTTGTACAAATTGTAGTTCCATTATCAGGCTTTGATTTAATGCCTATAAGCGCCTGTACGCCAATTTTACACAAAAAAATGTTTATATTTAGATTTAAGAAGGCCTAATTTCAACAGCAACGATTTTGATGTCCTAAGCAAAGGTAGAGGGTATTGAACTCCCATTTTTGATCATGCATAGAGTAGATACATGTTTGTGCAACAAAACTTACAAACCATATAATTCATCTCTTGATAAAATGTGAATTGAATCTTTGCTTGCATACGCTGTATAATTTCCCGCACCTAAAGAATTGTGTTTACAACTCAAACGATGCTAATAAAGGCGTCACACATTTACAACTCAATATGGGACTATTCAATAATATTTATAAATGATTCATAAGGTCAAGTGGAGTTGCAGTTCAAATTATATTGGTTAAATATTGTTGGTGACCAATTTAGATATTTGATAGTCCTTGATTGTACTAACTACTGTTAAATATGGCTAAGTAAATTCAAAAATGATGTCTTTGGACTACAGTCACCTTACTGAGAGAACTGCGTATTGTATTGTCAATACAATGAGATTATACCACCATATTCAGAAGATACTTACGTAGGTATCCTGTTACTATTTAAGTTAAAGAGCAGAAAGTACATGACTATGTGAACTAAGTATGCTCCCATCATTGAAATACATACTTCACAGATATAGTAATTCCTCATCAAGCTATAAATATAACACTTAATGTTGTCTAAATACTCATTGAAAACATCTTATTGACGCCCGTATACTGAAAGACAATCTTATATAGTACTTAAATATCATGCCCTCTCTATCATTTTACAAAGAATTCGCAGAGACAGAACTATACTTAAGCGCGACTTAAAATTGAGTAGCTTTTCAGCATTCGGCCGTAAGAGGTGTTAACTTCATAAGCATTAACGAAGTAATAACCAATCATAATCAAGGGTAATTATGACAAGGTTACATGGAAACCTGCTCTGCAGTGTTTCGTAAAAATACAACAAACATTATCGAACTGTGTGTCAATAAATCGGGAGTTCTCACAATACTCGGGATGTGATTAATGTGTTGTGAAAACAATAAATCATAAAACGACAGTAATTTATTTCATAATCGATCTAAAATAAAATGAATCGGCAAATATGCACGTAAACATTTGTTTCTACTATCTATACTAAGGTTGCCTGGAAGAAATTGCTTATAGCGATAAGGTTGCCCATTTTATATTATCGTTTTTAGATTATGTAATTTTATTGTATATTTATGTATATTATGGTGCACAATAAAGCATTTTGTTTTGTATTATAAGATTTATAACATCTGAATTTTTATTTTCATATAGGCATGAATGACGAATTTGTTATGAACTGTACTCCTAAAAGCTTGCATCACATTCTACATCTACTCACACAAATACAGGGCATAAACTGAATGCTACTAAAAACGCTTGTTTACGTGTTATTAATGCAAGATCTCCCTTGAGCAGTTGATTACAACTATTATTATATAAAAGGAAAATTTGATTCCGTACTCATTTGAATAATAAAAACAATTTTTTATCATCACATGTCTTTGTTTTTTGGGATGGTTCTCTTTACACCTTTGTATTAAGTTAGATTCAAAATCTGTTCTACTTACATGTAATTTATTTTTGCACTGTGATATAGTGTGTCGGGAGTAGACAGCCAGGTCAACGTCCTTGCAAGTGTTGGAGAGCCGCAGACGTAGAGACACCTCCGTACCACCCTCCACTGGCTCTGACCACTCCGCTGGAGAATCCCTGCCACTTGCCTCCTTCACCATATTAATGGGTGGCGACAAACAGTATATTGGAACCTAGAGGCAATACAAAATAAGTTTTATTCACGTTTAGATAATGTTTAATTTCTAATATTGACTTTGAAAAGCTAAAAGAATGAACTTGAATTTTAACCCTTTGAGTACCGTCATTATAGACACAACTAAAGAACAATAGGTGTGCGGACACCGGTGTCCTCGCGGTGTTTGACAGTTGAAATTATTACTTGTTATATAGAATGTACATTACAGTCTGCGACAATGATAATTAGATAGAATAATAATTGCAACAGTGTATATTGGTAACAAGCACTAGATATATGTTCTTATATGTAATAGAGATAGATATGAGAGAGTAGGCACAATAGTCAGGCCAGATAATTTCCCGGAGCTATACATTGCAAGTTATTGTAGTTGATATGAAAGCTGATGACCAGAACTAGATGTTTATGTACTGATATAACATATAACCAGGTCAACAGGTCACCTCTCATACTATTTCTTCACGACACAACATTTAAACCAGTTATTTTCTTGTGCAAACATTATGAATATTTAAATAGAATAATACATTATTATTATGTGACTACAAGGTTGTTTTTAGGATGGCAAGTAAATTCCAAATCACTGTTATTGGTATAATATGGATTGTTAATCATTTGCAATTATGTAGAGTAAATTGAAATGAAAATAAGTATTAAAATTGTCAATAAACATTGATGTAGTGGTTAATAACTAATTTTTTCTTGCACTAAAAAGTTTAGATTATATTTTCCTTTTATAAATAATTATAAAAAATCAAGCCATTAAAAGGAACTTTTTCTCAGCACCATTTATTTATGCCATAAGTGTAATCATAATCATCAGCCTATAAGTGCCCACTGCTGAGCAAAGCCTCTTCTCACAAGGAGAAGGTTTGAGCATTAATCTGATTGAAAAAGAGTAACCTATGGAGTTTCTTGCTAGTTCTTCTCCATAGGAATCTACACCTTGGAATGAGCAAATAGCTTCACTTCTTATTATTTTTTTGTTGACGTTCAAAAGTGCCATTCTGGTCTAATTGAAAAAAATATATATATCATCACACCTGCTCATTGCATTGGCGGTTAGAAATTTCAATCTTATATTTTGAATTTATAATTCCACGTTTCCTCAAGATGTTTTGTAAGTGTGTCTTAGTAAGTCCAACAGGTAGTTGAACCTGCTGCATGATTTAATAGTTATACCATTGCTTACATTGTACTTATTATACACAAATGTGAGAAGAACATGATCATGTTTGAAATGTAATCATTACAACGGTACTTAGAATACTTTCCAGTGAGTCTCACTTACTTAGAACTGTGAGCGGAAGTAACAACAAATTTGATTTATCAAAAGCATCTGGACTATAATGCTTACATATTATCAGGTTATTCTCCAATAATCATATTCAAAAATTGATAAAATCAATGAGGAAAATCTAATGGATGTTTGATGATAGTAAAAAGGTGGCTCCAAAACCACCAGGTGAATCAGCAATATTGTAAAAATCCTTTAAAATGTGTAGAACAGTGAGGATTCTTTACATTTTATTAAGATTAATGGTTAATCCATTACAGACTAAGGAGCTTGAAGAGCAAGAAAATCCATCGTAGTATAAAGTTTTTACAAAATGTGTACCTGATATCTTGTGCCCCATTCATCATAGCACTCAGTGAGGTAGCCATTGGGCACTGAAACACTGGCGCCGTCAAGTATTGCCTGTGCGAGCTGGAAGTCCATCGCCTCTGCAGCAACGGCGGCCGCCCGGAGCGCGTCCCAAATCTCCTTGCGTCCTTCGAACGCCGGCGCTGTGTCCCAAAACTCATCTCTTTTGCTACGTAACTGTCCTTCTGTCAATGGCACGTCCGATTTCCATCTTATGGTCTCGTGGCACAACGACTGATTCTTCCTCAGCCCGCCTACAACAAAGAGTTATAAGAACACGCACTCGACGTCTCCACGGAGACAGATGATCGCTTACCCCACCTGAATTAGGCCGAGACACAGTAGCTGAAGACTCCTCTATAGGCCCGCTACCACTTCTAGTTATTCCTATGCAGCCTCCCATAATGATCACATTCTACAATTGCTCATTTAACAAATATTTACAAAAAAATTATTAACAAATAACATTTTTATCTTCTGTACGCTTCTGTCAAAAAAGATTAGCTGTATATGTTTTATTATTGCTTCAAAAGGTCGCGTGTGATTTATACACGTTCGTAACAAAACTACAAAAATTATTTAAAAATAAATTTCAGTATGTCTTATACATAACTGTGTGATACTCCATAAACAATATAAAATATAAACAGAGAACATAAATAATTCTCATCTCCGTGATTCTAGGATTGTAGCTTCTAAAATAGCTGTAAACAAAACGTACGAAATATTAGGAATGTCAGTCTGCTGGTAATTTTTGTCAGTGGTAATTTTTACGAGAACACGTTTAATTTTTAGGAGCGCAAAACACATTTAATGACAAAATTATATTTGGTTTCAATACATTTCGTGGCTGAAAAATACTCATTTGAATGTATAAAATTGACTTTAATCAAAATTCTACATTATATACATTGAAGTAACAAAACTCGACTTTAAGTAAGGAGAAACAACACGTACCGAGAAGTCAATGTCAATTCTCTCAAATCTGTCAATCAAATGTTTACATTTTTGTAAAAGTGAATTTTGTTTTATTTGAAGAAGAAGCTTGAAAGCAGCGAAAAACAAACAAAAACCTGATATTCAAAGAATACAAGAACTTTATGTTGCTTGACAATGAATTCACTTCCTTGTAATATAGAAGACTACAGAGTTATTACGGTAAGTGTATTGTAATACTCCAATTTAGCAATACTAATTTTCTAGTTTATAATATAATATAATTTGTGTGATTATAATATAATTTGTCGCCAGGCTCCAGAGACTGCGTATTACATCTCCGATTTTATATCAGAAGCTGAAGAAAAGGCAATTTTATCAAGTATTTACGCGGCACCGAAGCCAAAATGGACACAACTTTCAAACAGACGACTACAGAACTGGGGCGGAATACCTCACACTAATGGCATGATAGCGGAGACAATACCGCCTTGGCTGGATAAATACCTAGATAAAATTCATAAGCTGGATGTCATGGATGGGAAAAGACCTAACCATGTGTTAGTGAATGAGTATCTACCAGGACAGGGTATCATGCCACATGTGGACGGATCTTTATTCTATCCTACTATCACAACAATATCGGCAGGATCCCACATTGTATTAAATTTCCTTGAACCAACTGAAGATAACACTATAAATACAAGTCCACTGTTCTCATTTTTACTAGAACCAAGAAGTTTGTTAATTCTGCAGGACAAGCTGTACACACATTACTTACATTGTATTGAGGAACTGAAGGAAGATTTGTTGGATGGGTCAATAGTCAATATAAACATGTGTTCAGACAAATATGTTAGACATGCAACAGTAACTAGAGACACTAGGGTATCACTGACTATAAGACATGTGCCAAAAACAAGCTCTTTTAAAATTCATCTTGGCAATAGAAGATAGATGTATAATATTCAGACTGAGTTGAAAATTATTGCGACATTTCTAGCAAGTAATGCTACAGTACTGACTGAATTTATTGAATGTTTATTCATACACTGGACTTTGTATGAATGAACACAATTTTTTATCATGTAAATATTGCAAAAGCTTAATGTTATGGTCCTTGATTGACATTATTATAATAAAACTATAAGTGTGCTTCAACAGTTGTTGTTGACAAACACAGTGGTTAGAAATCCTTTGGTATTACTGGCAGGCTCAAATATATTTTTTTGTTCTATTTTATTATTGTTATTGTACACTTATCTGTAGCTATTATGTAAACATAATTATGAAGTAACAAAATTCCACATTCAAACATTATTTTTATACACAAATCTAGTTGGTTCATATTTTTATAAAAATAAATTAATTAAAGTATGTTTTTACAAAAATAGATTTTTATTTTATTTTACAAAATGAAAATTACTAAATTATTTTCGAGTGCTAAGTTAATAGAGAGAAGTACAAATTGTTGTGGGGTTGTTCGAAATTATTGTAGTTCAAAGGGTACAAGTGGCACCAAAGAGGAAAAAACTGATTCTAACAAGGTAAGTAATTAACTAAAATACAGAATCATTATATCTTAGATACCTAAATGCTGTTGATCTACTAATAAATATGATTCACAGAAAGGTCTAGTGGTGGGTGTATATAAAACAAAGAACACATTAGAACTAACACCAATTGCTCAAGAAATCAACCAAAAGAGTGGAGATAAGTTGACACAGCATTTGAACAAGTGAGTGAAATGAATATTAAATTACTAAAACTATAGTACACAATTTAATTAAAAAACTTTTTCTAACTAAAATTTCTCTAAGTTTGAGTAACACTTGTGTTTATTGTCCCATGCTGGATATAATTTCACAGTCTGTGCTTCTAAAAAACGATACCGCTTTGCCCAAACCAAGGTTCTAAACTGATACTGAAGACTGCTTCAACATGAACAAATGACACAGTAAAATAAATAGTTGAGGATTTATTAAATACTAGCTACTTCTGCGCGGTTTCACACGCTCTGTTCAGCTCCTATTGGTCGTAGCGTGATGTTTTATAGCCTTTAGCTATCCTCGATAAATGCGCTATCCAACACAAAAGATTTATTCAAATCAGACTTGTAGTTACGGAGATTAGAGTGTTCAAACAAACAAACAAACAAATAAAAAAACAAACTTTTCCGCTTCATGTAATAGTGTAAGATTTTTTTGATCCCTGAATATGCCTGATGGCTAATGTTACAGATTATGTGGAGAGCTGCGGTTGGGCAAGGCGTTTACACTAACAGATGTGATGCCCGAATATTCCGCCATAGCAATCACCTGCTTTGGACCTAAGGATGCTGGCTATAATGCTCTTGAATCACTGGATGAGGCAAGGGTGAGTAATAACATCATAACATCTTCATTACACTTTAAACAACGTACAGCGTAACAACACCTTATTGTATTCTCTAGCTAAATTAAGCTAATAAGGTATATAATAAATAAAGAATATGAAGGTAGACCAACGTAGCAAGGCCTTCGGCTTTAAGTACCATGTCGTAATACTGTCGTTGGCTTAATTACTATTGCACCTGCCCCATCTAGTTGATCATACCAGGCATTGTAAGTTAACCAAGCTGCGACTTATAGGAGAACATTCGTTGGGGCGTGGGTGCGGGCGTGAAGTTGTTGAAGGCGCGCGGCTGCGGCGTCATCGAGGTGGACCCCGCCAACGCACCTGACGCGGCTGCCGAGGCCGCCGAGCTGGCAGCATGGAGGTATAAATACATACTTATACCTAAACTACCTGCCAGAATGATTGAGAAAGAGTATGTATGGGACTATGGGTACCGTCAACTTCTTATGCCATCTGAACTTCTAATACCACTCTGTCAAGAGTGTGAAACACCTAAGATGAGATATCATCAGTTAGTAGCAAAACATTAATGATCCTAAAAAAGTATTAAAATATCGCCATCTTTAGGTTCCAAAAGTTTAAGACGAAAGACTCCCGTAAGACTGAGTGCCACGTAAAGTTGTATGGCAACGAGGGCAAAGAGCTGTGGAAGCTGGGCGCTATATACGGGGAGGCACAGAACTGGGCGCGGTACCTGTCTGACATGCCAGCCAATAAGATGACGCCTGTCGACTTAGCACAGGTACTCGTATCTACTATTTTTTTTGAATAATTCTTATTGAAAATTGATTAAAGAAACACTCGAGGGCCGGAGGTTAAGACGCCCACTTTTCATGCAAGAGGGTGCGGGTTCGAAACCTAGCAACGGCAAGAACCAATGTGACTTTTTCCGAGTTACCTATATGAACTTTGTCTTTGTCAGTGGTATGACGAACGGGGAAGGAAAACATCGTAAGGAACCCTGGGCTTATAATTTATAATTATAAGTATGACATTGTCAACCCGCAATGAGCAAGCGTGGTGATTAATGCTCAAATCTTCTCCGTGTGATAAGAGGCTTTGCTCAGCAGTGGGCATTTATAGGCTGTTGATGATGATGATTGATTAAAGTATTCTTCTTCACTATTCCACACTTCATGTGTGTATCTTATCCACAAAGTACACTGCCTATTATGGTCCGAAAATCGAATCTGAGATTTTGTGTCAACTTGTTTAATTTACTCAACCAATCTCGTCTGATGAATAAAGATCACCCTGCCTGTCGGTAAAAGAATTTCATGTTTTCAACGTATACTCTTATTTTATTACTCTTCTTCAAGTTAGATACACTTCTATCAGTCATGTGTTAAAAGTAGGTGGGTTGATTATTATGACAACTTTGAAGTGAACTTATTTCATCTGATAATGAGAATTGTGTTTAGTTGTTTGGGAGCTCTTGGTTGAGCAAACCATACATTTTTCAGCTGATGAAATGAATGTCAAATATATTTCCAGGCGGCCATCGACGTCCTGTGTCCGCTGGGAGTGAGCGTGGAGGCGCACGACCGCGAGTGGATCCGGGCGCAGCGCATGCAGGCCTTCCTGGCCGTCGCGCGCGGCTCCTGCGACACGCCCATGTTCCTCGAGTGCATCTACCGGCCCGGCGCCGTCACCGCCGCGCCCGTACTACTCGCGGCTAAAGGAGTCACCTTCGACAGGTATTATAATTGTACTACTACTTGCCTCTTCTGCTTTTCCCCCGTTCTCCTAAGATTTTCGGGAAAACCTTGGATAAAAGTATCCTACGTTCGTTTCCTGGTTAACGAAACAGGATTAAAAATCTTAGTTGCCCCTAAAATCTTTACTTAATTTAATTTATAAGCTCGAATTTAAAACTAATTAGGTATGTAACATTGTTTACAGCGGTGGCCTGTGCTTGAAGGACTGCAACATGATGCTGGACAACCGCGGCAGTATGGCCGGCGCCGCCGTCGTACTCGCCGCTATCAAGATCATCGCTAAACTTAAGGTTATTATACCATATTACCTTTAAAACTAAACATTATAGAGGTAGATTAGATCTTAGAAATAATGTAGTTACAAGCAATTGCATTTAATAGTATTTATTATTTATTTATGTTGGCCTCGTTGGTTGACTGCCTCGTTAGCCAAGTGATCGCAAGTGCGACTGCCGGGCAAGGGGTCTCGGGTTCGAATTCCAGGTCGGACAAAGTATTACTGGGTTTTTAAAAATTCTTAGTAGTAGCACGGAGTCTGGAATTTAGCCCGATATATGGCAATAGGCTCACCCCCTATTGCATGAAATAAATATATCAAATACTGAAAAGTGGGTGTTACATTGTACAGTGGCTTAATGTGCACCTCTGCCTACCCCTTCGGGGATAAAAGGCGTGATATTATGTTTGTATTTATTTATGTGATTATATTGACAGTCTGCAGTACTAGATTCAGTGCCATAGATCCCACTCGGTAAGGTAAGCAGTTAGATAAAAAAATAATAGATTTCCTTGAGACCCAATTGGGTTATAGCCTGCTGTATTTAAAAAAAAATGTATTTCAGTTGCCGATAAACGTGTCGGCAGTGATCCCCATCTGTGAGAACATGGTGAGCGGTCAGTGCATGAAGGTGGGAGATGTCGTCAGGGCGCTCAACGGACTGTCCATTGAGGTGTGAGAACCTTCTGTATCTTTGTCAGGATATAGGTCTTTTCTATATTTGATTGGTCGACGTTCGACCACTATCTCGCCTGGTGATAAGCGATGATGCGGTAAGGTATGGCCCACTATTCGTTTGATCAAGTGTTGTAGTCTGTTTATAAGCATACTTTAGTACTCTAAAAATATAACTCACTTTGCACAGTTGTATGTTTTATTTTGCTAAATAACCGCACCAACACGGTAGTTGACAACTAATCAAATTCAATACTTTTATCGGAACGTCGAAATGGACACTGACCTTTGAATTTTGTTCTGAGACTGAAATACCAACTTATGACGTCATCACATTTTCGCGGCAAATAGCCCATTTATTTATAAAAAATTGGTACAATAAATCGAAAATTAAGTATCCGATGAATCAATGAACGAAATTGTAATTATTTTTCAATATTCAATTGGACTGAAAAATAAAATAATTTATTTTTGACCCTGGAAACTACCACCCAACTGTACAGTCGCGAACATATTTGATCACTTTTGTACAGATAGCACCATCTAGTGACGGGAGGAGAAACTATTTCAGATTTTTTACATAAAACTAGAATAAATAATATTCTACTTTCAGATAGAAAACACGGACATGGAAGGCCGGTTGATGATGGCGGACGCGCTGGTGTATGGCCAGTCGCTGTTCAAACCCGCAATGGTCATTGATGTTGCTACTTTCACCCGTATGTATAAAAATTACTAGTTTTACTGCTCGACTCCTATTAATCTTAGCCTGATTTTCTATAGCCTCTCTTTATCGAAGTATATGGATTAACAGAAAAAACAATCAATGAGATCCATCAGTTTCGAAGATTAGCGCGTAGTAGTGGGTATAGACAGAGACGCAGCGTTTAGTGGCATATAATTGAGCTGAATTAGCTTGGCATATTGTTGTCACCATCACTTTATACTGTAAGGTTTATTTATATAACCTCGATAGCTGTCGTTAATAATATGAAATAATAGTTAGTAAAGCGCGGGTGATGCTTTAGTCTATGATACGTAGTTTTAATCTATTTTGCTATATTATTCTTATGAGGGTTGGCAGAGGTGCATATTACGGCACTTAATGCCACTGTAAAATGTAAACCCCACTTTTCACTATTTAAGTTACGAACATAACATAACATCACGCCTTTTATCCCCGAAGGGGTAGGCAGAGGTATACATTATGCCACTGTACAATGTAACACCCACTTTTCAATATTTACTTATGTTATGAGTTCTATGTAATAGGGGGTGAGCCTATTGCCATATACCAGGCACAGTTCCAGATTCCGTGGTAGTTCTGAGTTTTGTAAAAAAACCCAGTAATACTTTGCACGACCCAGGAATCGAACCCGAGACCCCTTGCCCGGCAGTCGCACTTGCGACCACTTGGCCAACGAGGCAGGCTTATGACGAAATAAACTATTATTCTATTAAACGTGTAAATATGCAGACGGCGTCCTGATGGCGACGGGTGGCGGCGCGTTCGGTTGCTTCAGTAACTCGGAGTCGGCCTGGCGCGCCGTGCAGGCCGCCGGCGTCATCACTGGGGACAGACCGTGGCGGTTCCCGTTGTGGAAGTACTTCCACAAACAGATCACCAGTTAGTCGCCTATATACTAATATTCACCACTTACCTATCTTATTGTATTCTATTATAGTATGTAGTTATCTTCTAGCTTTCACTACATAATCACTATTTTATTTGTAATATTAAAACAACCCCCTTTTACTACATGCATATAAGTACATACGATACACATACCAAAATATATTTTTTTATAATTTATGTTTATGTCCGTTTGTACTGGGTAATCTCTGGAATGGCTGGGCAATTTTGCAACTTTTATTGGCAGGTAGCTGATGTACAAGGAGTACCATGGTTAGGTACTTTTATTTTAGATAAATTCATATTCTACGACCGAAGTCACGGGCAACAGCTAGTAGTTAATAAAATAGTATAGTATGTATATGAAAAAATTCGCTATAGATGCTTAGATATAAAATACCTAATCTACTAATAGTTGCTCGGTAGGTACCTATTATTGTATGTACATCCTCAGTCGTGACGATTAAAATTGGCAAGCATATACATCCATTACCGTAAAATGGGGTGGATAGGGATCGAAAGGTGAATAAAGACAAAAGAGGGGTGAATAGATATTGAGAAATTCTTCATAGTATCAATTCACCCCTCTTCTATTTCTATTCACCTCTTGATTCCTAGTCAACCCATTTTACCGTTATATTACGTGTATTGTCCAGAAAAAGAAACAGGCTTGTTCTTGACGAAAAAAATATTTTTAGTAACCACTAATTGAGCATAAACATGCTCAAGAAGTAAATCAAGCAAGTTATTATAAGTACATAAGTAAACTTATTGTATCCTTTAGCTTGTCTTAGTTGTCTTTTTGAAAGAGTTTCCTCTTTGACCCATTTTCAATTTACATTACAATAGTATGTACCTACCACAACTAAAATTTATGTTGAAGTTGGTCACATTAGCATCTTTTAACAAAATAACAGTGTAATTGTTCTCCCATTTGCTATTTAGTACCAGTTTTTTTTATTTAACAAAGCCATAAAGGCTACTATGCCTACTATAATAGGTACTAATTCTGAAACAGATGACCCTGCAGTAGATTTGAGGAACAAGGGATCTGGGCACGGCACCCCATGTCTTGGAGCTGCTTTTCTAAAGGTAAGAACATTTATGATAGGTATTGAGAGGATAGGTAAAATCATCATGTGTCAAAATGTTAAGTAGGCAATTGCTGTATGCACGTAATTTTTGTGATGAAGTACATACCTAGCTTCATTAGTACCCATTCCGGTACACAGAATGGGTGTAGCGTTCTAAAAGCATGATAGATGGCGCTTATGTCGTTTAGTCATTTGGGAATAGGCCTGACTGCTGTACTGTCATTAATTGGTTTTTAATCCGGTTCTTAGCAAATGTCTTCGAAACAACATCGTTTCTAAGTAATACTTATATGTTTTTGTGATATCAGTATGTGTATGATCACAGAACTTCGTGTGCTGCGACTGGGTGCACATGGACATCACGGGCGTGGGCAAGGTGTCCCCGTGGGGCGGCGCGCCGTACCTGGCGCCGCGCCGCATGTCGGGCCGCCCCGCGCGCACGCTGGCCGCGCTGCTGCACCACCTGGCCGCCGCCGCCAACCGCAACGACAACAAACAAGAACCCACTCCGTGCGCCGCCAAGTCCTAAATTATCCTTTACTTTCGGCTAATATGTTTAGAACTGTACGTGTGGTTCGGTCACATTGAAACCCCATAAAACATTTGATACAAACGAGTCTACTAGTGATGTCTTGTCCAGTAAAGTTTGTAAGAAACGTTCAATAAACATATCTCAAGCGCATCGTCTCGTTTTAAAACTTAATTTAAAGGACTTTTACTTCAAACATACAACATTCCATATCAATGAGATCTTTATCGTTAAAACTATACACAACATACATTGAGAAATTCGAGCAGACCACAACCAGCAGGTTAGAGCGCGTAGGCGTATCAGTAGAGTACACAAACATCGAGTGTAATCTCATTAGTCTACACAATTAATAACAGCGCATTAGGGCGAGCTCGGGTAAATATTTACGAACAACGCAAAAACTAAACACATAATCAAATCAACGGGTGCGAAATGAAACACCGATGCTTATTGACCTAAAAATGAAGAAACATTTATTTTCAGTATGTCTTTTGTAAAATTTAATAACAGAATGAATCAAATGTGGTAAGAGAATAACAGAGCGGATTACTTTCCATTTCGATAGAATTAGTTTCACCAACAATAGAAATATAATATTTATCAAGTCATTTACAGATACAATTAATGCAGTACCAATAAATCTAATTTATTCGTTTACTGAGTTAGTTAAATTTAAACATTTATTACGTTACCATAATGTACACGGAGTGGAGCGGGCGGAGGGAGCCGTCCGCCGGGTACACTATCTTTTTTTGGGATTTTTTAAATTTTTATTCCTCACGTACTTTATAAATATCTCATACTTGAAAAAAATTTACATTAAAATGTATCGGAAAGGTGCGGGACGCTAGCACCGCAGACACTAGGGCGCGACGCAAACAGAGGCACGCACGCACACATACAGGACGGCGGCCGCCCCAATATACACAAATATAAATATGAGCCGACACGAACCCGAGACTTATACCATCACATTGCGACGCACACCTATTCGTTTTCCCTTTGTACCGCTACAGTTAAAATTTTTCTTACATAGTAAAATTAACGGAATACTTTAAATCTAAATAAAAAGAAGGCGGAGACGACGGAGCGCGGGGAACAAGCCGCCGCGCTCCGTCGTCCGCGCCCAACGTTACAAGTACATCATTAAACTGAAACGATGACAATATTTAATTTATCGCAAACACTAGAGAAATGCAGGTCCAATACGATGGTAATATTGTGTGTCATGAAACAAAATGTATATTTAAATTCTCTGCTTTTTACACACACACTAGCCGGCGGCTCACTTCGACGTCATCATGGTGACGAATTCTGCAAAAGAAACACAAACTAGCATTAGTACAGTTGCCAGGGGAACAGAGCGTGAGGTTTACAAGAAAAGTGTCACATAAACCCTTGCATAACATGTCTAAGATAAAATGTTAACACAAACATTATTAACACAACGAAAGTAACCGACAGAGATAGAGATGCACTAAAGATGTAACCGCTAGTAGACAGATACCACTAGATGTATTAACAGTAAATAAATCGAGTCAACACCAAACATATGCCTTCGTAATAGTGACAATATACAAAGCAAGGCATGTACTTGATGGAGCGACGAACAACATAAATAAACCTTACTTTTACCTCATCATGCCACTACAAGGGGATTATGTGAAATACCACCCTCTGGATATATCAACGCAAAATACATTCATGATAAAAGTAATAATAAATGATGGGCGGAAGCACTCGATTAGATACTAGTGCTGCGAACGAACATATCCCGATAGTGTCGTGCGAAGCCTATACAACGTGTTCATGATACAGTCGATCGTACGATATCGATCGCATACCCGACGTTTGCTGCTCGTTTGTTAGCCACGGTGTCGTGTGAGTGGGTGTGAGAGGTCAAGCTAGTGTCGAGAGCACCGCACACGGCACACGGGCAAGCAGAGGCGGGGCCTCGGACAACGGGGCGGATCACCAGGTGGTATTTCTATAGGAAAACTTCTATACAGATATTAGACACATGCACCAATCAACAGGAAAACAATATTCAACATGTCCCTGTGAAGCGGTCGCCTGTAATTTTGTCGCCTTCGTGGGACGGCGTTGACAAAATTGCAGGCGAGTCGCCACGCCAAGTGAGTAAATAGACACAATCGATAGTCAAGTGTGAGATCCCAACGAGAGAGTGAGAGGGCGGGGTAGGGCGGGACAGCTCGGGAGTGGCGGGACCAGCTAACATATCCAAGGGAAGGAACAGTTAATAACGAGCAGCAAACCATTCAGATTAACACTGGGATATACCTATTGTCGTACCGCACTCGACGTAGGCCGTTGGGCTCTTTGCATCGATCACTACACACTACTAGGGGAAATTGTTTCGAGATCACAGCGTTATCGTAGAGTCTTTTCTTATGGTTAGTTACGGTACTAATATCACAAGTGTGGCGGCGGGCCGTGCGCTAACGGCTGCCGTCGCCGCGATCGAAAATGATTTTGGCGAATGCATGGAAGTCTGCAAGAGAGAGAACGCTCGGTCGGATGATGGAATACACATTGCACATACACGGACGCGGACCAACCCTAGCTTCCCATACTTGATACACTGTATCCATGCACAACGGGCCAGCAAGCTTACTCAACAAGCGATACTATCTAACTAGTGATCCAAATGCCACTCTTGTGTTCAACCAACTTCAAGTTTAAGCTTTCTAAACCAGACCGACGCTACAATCGTGCGACTGCAAATCACGTCAGCGCCCAGTTAGCTTACTCTACTACTCGACTACAGTATCATGGTCATTGCAGGTATTTTAACTATTAGTCAAACATATCTTTAACATTTCCTGTACGCTATAAACATGACTACCAGTAACTTTTGTCGGATTTAATATTCTATAATCTTTTGTGATAAGTTTATAAATAAAATGGACTTTTTGGAAACAAGCAAACCCAACTGTTAGTGTGAACACGTACTATGCTACATGCTGGAGTCTCGTGTACGATATTATAATACTGGGTACTATCATCACACAAGAATAAATCACATCGGTGGAACACTGATCTGTCGACAGTACATTGTTTTTGAGGATCGGTCATGCGTCAATAGCGACTGCAAATTCTTTGGTATTATAGAAAAACTATACGGCAATAAAGTGACTAGTGAAAACATTGCATATTAAAGTACATATATTATATTGACGACCCAGGAACAAGTTGTATCCTCGTTCGTGGAGCGTCGTGCGGCGTGGTGCCGGTGTGGCGGTGGAGTGCAACATCCCAAAGCGAGTGAGTGCGGAGTACGTACCCTCGTAATTGACTTGTCCGTCGCCGTCGATGTCGGCCTCGCGGATCATCTCATCGACTTCCTCGTCGGTGAGCTTCTCGCCGAGGTTGGTCATGACGTGGCGCAGCTCAGCCGCCGATATGAAACCGTTGCCGTCCTTGTCGAACACGCGGAACGCTTCACGGATTTCCTCCTCACTGTCGGTGTCCTTCATTTTGCGGGCCATCATCGTCAGGAATTCGGGGAAATCTATCGTGCCGTTACCTGAAATGTGATGATGTTACAAATTAGTTATGTAATCAATGTTTGGTCAGTTGTTGCAGAGTTGGGCGTGTTCTCATATCAATTTAAGCCTTAGTAAAATAATCTGCTTCAAGAAACATTAGTTAACGTGATTAAAATTAATCAACTTTTAGATGTAAACCAGAGCACACAGCCCACGTGGCGGCTGGGGAATCAAGTCATAAGGAATTCGTTCATGTTAGTTACAATAACTCAAGTGATAGCTATTTTAATCCGATATATCTATGTATAAAACCAATTTAGAATGCCAAAAACGTTTAATGTTTATTTTTGAAATAAACAAGAGTTCGTTTGAAAGCAGGTGCGCCCCTACGGCTAAGTAAATTTAGATAGAACAATCAATGGAAATTTTCACGTCAGAGTAAAGATCAAGGGGCCGCCGAATAGATTTACGATGTATAAAAGTACATAATGCATAATATAATTGTTATTAGTCGTTAATTTACGCGAGAAGTATGCGCGAGCAGCGAGCAGTCGGGCTCCAGCGTGCGGACGAGCCTTGTTTGTTTTGCTTGACGGCAAGTGTTGGCGTTTCCACGAACATGGACACTTATAAACACATAGATTTATCATCTGACTGCGCCTGTGTATTGTCTGACCTCAGACTACATGGGATCATGTGCTTGTGATACGTCATGTGTTTAAAAACATTAATGAATGAGATGATCTTACAGCTAATGAATCATGCCATTAACAGCTTGGGAATATGTATAATAAAACCTCTTTTTTATTGGGTACTTGATTAGACCATGTTAATATATATTACAGCTTGTTTCTGCTTGCCATAAGTGTTTCAGCTTAGTATGTAATGGTATAAATAAACGTAAACATATATTCGATGACAACATTGGCATAGTGAACGCGACAACAGCCAAATATAACGTGGTCCACGTGATTTTGATAGCTGAACAAATATGTTTCTTTATCTAATGTAAACATCATACATTATTATTTTTTATATTTAATACTTTAGGTCGTTGCTTTACTTTATCACATCTCTATTCAGAACTAGCACACGTTGTGTTTGTGTGCTTATTACCTCCATTTTATTGTTAAGTAAAGATTTGCTAATTATTTATTTAAACTTAACAAAAATCAGTGAGTATGTTTCTATTCTAGGAATTGTCGTAGTATTTTGAGTCAGTTCGATTTAAATGAGAATGGAACATGTTAAGTGATGACGAATCCATATTTGGACTCACGCACCGAAGGTTTTTCCCTTACGTTACTTAGAATGTCTTCAATCAGAGTTCGATATTAAATTCATTTCTGTTATCGTTTTAAAGATATTATAATCCTCATATCGGTCAATTAAACTGAGATAACGTTTTATGGCACGTTGCCTTGTGTAAGCTTCTCAGAAATATTTACGTTACAATAAAATATTTTAATTGCACTGGACTATGAAATGATTTTCCTGCTTTAATTCTGATTGTCACTATTTAACACATTGGATGTCGTGTCGGACAATGGTGCCCGACGCCAACAGAGGATTACCCTTTAAGTTTTTATCGACAGTTAAAGGCTTTTGATGACCTATTATCACATTTATCACCGTAGGTACCATAAGGAAGTCCGATATTGTATTGTTAAACTGTTTTGTATAATTATTCCGCTAGTATCTCACGAACGAATGAATCGAACTTTATACTTCAAACTGTTATTACTATGGTAAACGTAATAAAAATAGTTTGTTACGGCAAAAAGTAATTATTGCTGTTTCACACGTGGTACAAGTTGAACGAGAGACGAAACAAATGTTCCGTTTTGATCGACGTTATCAACAAACTAACGGGAATACGTAAAGTTGGATAATTTATGGTTGGATCAAGAATTTGCAGAACTACCATTAAAATATTATACAAATAACAGAATTTATTCATTACAATTTTGATCATATTTTACTGCTTGGATTTTACAATCCAAGTATCCAAATGATTCATTGCAGACGATCAATAGCCCAATTTCCTGATAAGTGATTTAACTGTATATGTTTTAAGTTTCTTATACACAAATACTAAGTAGGTACCTGCCCTCTAGTCCGCAATTTACAACTCAAATTAGTACACTTGTTCTCAGCGTCGAACAATATATAAAGCCGTAATCTGGGTTCACTATTCCATTAAATTTTTAAGACATAGGATAGTAATCTATTTTTAGTATTCTAAATGTATCTAGATCCAGTCTAGTCTAGTTCGTAGTTCCTTCCGCGATCGAACAGCCGGCCCGATGCGTTGTAAAAATAAGTTCGGGTTAAGTTTGGCCCGTCTAATTCTGGGTTTAACCTTTCCGAGGTGGTTCGCGGACTAATAATAGATGTGCGAGCGAAACGGTGAGCTTCCGACATTGCAATACACATACTCGATACTACATCAACAGAAAGCGCACTTTGATTGCAGGCTTCTCGATTAGGGACACCACTCCAGACATATATGGTCATCGGGTAACATGGACAACAACAATATCTAAGCGATTTACAAGCAGATCCATCAAACATCTTTTCTTTCAGCAATGTTTCATCACACGATGATATTGATTTTCATCCTAATATTGTTTTTTTATAGGTTTAGGACCCTACAACGATATTCTTATTTACTATTAGGTACGCGAAATGTATCCCGCAACTTCTATACAGCTTTACCCTGTGGTTGAGGCGCACAGCTAGAGGATTCGATCCCGGTCGATTTTTCTAGTCCCGGGATTTCGGGATTATCGACTGTTAATACCGGGATCCCGGGATAGTCCCGGGATTTTATTGGTAAAGAAAATGGTAGCAATTAAAAAGAAGTAAACATATCAAAATCAACCTTTTATTTTAAATCTTCAAAAACAAAACAAAATTATTATTTCTTCTAATAAAATTAACAAACTAGGCCCTTATAAAAATTATTGCCTAGTTTGTTTATTTTATATTTTACAATAAACTTAAAAAAATCAACTTCTAATATTTGTCAAAAGAGATCAATATTAATAGGACTAGTAATATTTTAAATAAAACAGACCAGGAACTATAATTTACTTATTTAAGCCACGAAAATAAAATCTAAGAAATAACAACGCATCCAATGTCTCATCCGAAAGCATGCTTCTTAATTTGTTGCACAAATATGAAGCAGCGGAAAACGCGCGTTCAGGCTCGATGGAGGAATCGTCAATAAATTTTTATAAGCCTTCTCCAAATTATGACCTCGTGTGGAACTAGCCTCAAAAAGATTCATTTCTTGTTTAATGATCTTAGAAAGATCAGTTTCTTTAAATGCTTCAGGATTTATTATTTTCATACTGTTTTTTATTTCGTTCTGAAGCTTTTCTTTTAATGTTAAATCGGTCTTACTAGTTGTCTGCGTGGGTTCAATGTTCATGTCATTTTCTTCATTATCACTATTTTCAATTTTTCCAGCTAACAAAATAATCTGTTTTTTTATAGTCATCTTGCTTGGACTTGAAAATAACTCCTTTAAATCACAATCAGTCTCTAACTCAGTCTTCTCAGTATGAGGATTTTGTAAATAGTTTAATACTCCACTTAACTCACTGCGTCGACGATCTTTCAAGCGGTTCAATAAATGTGTTTTTAATTTAGAAGCCAAAATTGAGTCATTGTCACGCAATTCTTGAAAAAGAAACTTGAGTGTAGCATCCGTTGTGCACAAATTGACATCAGAACGACAAAGTGCTTCTACAGATAATTTAACGGGCGCCAATACCTTGATTATCTCACTAATGAGTTGGAAATCTGACTCTTCAAATGGTACAGGATTATATTTAGCCATACACATTAGTGCATTGTTGTTTTTGAAATAAATTAATGGTTTATCACTAATCAACAATATAAATAACAATACTTACACGATCTGAAGCGTAATTTTTACACTATTTTACACACATAGGTAGGTAAAGTACCTAATCCAACAACGTTTGTTAGCAGAAACAAACGAAATCAGCTGTGTAAACAAGATGGCTGGCAAATTTTGACGTTTAACGTCAAATTAAAGTAAGCGCGTTTCGTTTCACGCACATTTTTAATGAATTATTTAAAAAATGTTTAGGTCCCGAAAATCCCGGGATTCATTGGATTTAATCCCGAGATTTTCGGGACTAAAATATGATCGGGATCCCGGGATCCCGGTTTTCGGGATCCCGGGATCGAATCCTCTACGCACAGCGCACCTGGACCACTCTCGTTAATTGTCGGCTGTAAATCTGTCACGTCTGCTGTCTGCGTATGCTTGGGTATTACAATCGTTTTATAGTTCTGTTTGTTATTCTTTATGCTTCTAAATCTTAGATAATATAATGTAGGCGTCGTAATAGGCGGTAGCCACGTTTTATCAAATAAGATGAACATCATTACTCACAATGTACTGAATTTTGTCGTCCAAAATCAGATCATATTACCGTCGCGACGTTGTATATGACTTAATGAATGTTATGCAAGCTTGGAATGAGTAGATTCCTAACTTGTCTGGTTCGCAGATGTGGCTTTGTTTGCGGCAAGGTAACTCAAGATAGACTATACTAGTTTGCATGTTCACAGAGCGTATTGGTTGTTCTTACTTTGTGTGCCAACGACGAGCAATAACCGGATCGAGTTTATGTAGCCGTGTGTTCAGCACTACAGGAACGTTAATGCCTTTAAAATCGCTAACAGTTCGTTGGAGAGTACATCAAACTAAGCAGTTTCGCACGTAGCAATGGCAATTAACAAGCGACTCATAAACCTGAGTCACCCGACGGATATAGTAACATCACCCTGCACTCGTAACAGCATCTTATCATCTTAACTCATACTTAACCTTGTCTTACTCACGTTCTATGATGTTAGATACCTCATCATTATGCATGGCGGAATGATTAATTCATGAGCTGATGTGATAAGACAAGAATTTTCCATAATATGTGACTGAGGATAAGCATGGCTATTTCCGAAATTGTCCTTTCTTATTGCTTGCCTTGCAGGC